GAATGGGACTTTTGGCGGGCTCAGCAGGGCAGAGACAGCCTGGACAATTCCTATTGGCTTTTGAAAGCCAATAGAATTAGACTCTATTCAAGAGAGTCTATTCTATTGGCTTTCAAAAGCCAATAGAATAAAAGGGAGTAGCACAGCTAAGGAAAAGGGGGAAAAAATGGCGGACTGCGTTGTTTGGCGACCCCCGTGAAATGGTCGTTCGACCCCAAATGGGGTGCCGACCCACAGGTTGAGAACCACTGCTCTAGCAGGATCTTCACTTTCATGGGATGCAGAGTGGAATGATCCTTTGCAAACAAACAAAATACTCTGTTTTTCATGGCTGAGTCTAGCCAGCAAATCAGAAATGATCTAGGGCCTAAACCTTCCTTACTTGGTGAAATAATAAAAGCCCAACCTAGTTGTCATCAGCATAAATAGGATTGCATGGCAGAAGCTTTTAGAGGAAACAAAACTGAAATCCATTTCTTTAGATTTCTCAGCATGGGATTAGTTAATTGGGTGTTTTAGGAACACTATTGTGCCATCCCAAAACACCAATTAATTCTGTCTATATATTTTATTGCAATTGTTCTCCAGTATTTGAGGGGCTGCCCCAAAGAAGAAGGGGCCAACTTATTTTCCAAAGCACGGAAGGCAAGACAAGAAACAATGGATGGAAGCTAATCAAGAAGAGAAGCAACATGGAATTAAGGAGAAACTTCCTAACAGTGAGGACAATTAACCAGTGGAACAGCTGGCCTTCAGAAATTGTAGGTGCTTCATTATTGGAGGTTTTTAAGAGAAAACTGGACAGCCACCTGTCTGAAATAATACAGGGTCTCCTGCTTGAGCAGGGGGTTGGACTAGAAGACGTCCAAGGTCCCTTCCAGCTCTATTCTGATTGATTGATTTTGATTCCAGTGGAATCGACTACAATATGTGTTCAGACTTGTACGTAATTTTCTCACACTTTCTAGTTCCTTTCCCTGCTTACCTCCTCCTTGACCTTTACCCTACCTACAAGCATACCACTGCGTAGACCCTTGTGTGCATGTCTTGTTCTCATTGATGCATTTTTAAAACAGTATTTTTAAAAACAAGGTGGGATTGAGATGTTGAGAGATGATGCAGAATGAAATTGGCTTGCCTTTCTAAAAGATTCAAGAGTGTCAAACAGAGAATGAAATGTAAAAACCTCTTTCATATGGATTGTAAGAGTCCATTAACTACTTCTTAAAACTTTTTAATTTCCGCTTTTTTTATGCAGGTGAGTTTGAAAATTTATATCAAAATGACTCATTAATCACTGACATCTTCAGAAACGTACCAATTAGTCAGGTTTTGAATCATGGCTGTAAGCTTTGAAATGTGACTTCTAACTAAAGTCATGACAGGTCATTTGTTCTCACATCATAATTCTAAAATATGTTTTTCCTTGTCCTTGGAGTTAATTTTATACTATCATTAGCTCTGGCTAACTGAGGTGGGCTGAAAAAAAAATCAAGATAATTACTAAAGGGCAGTAAAGCATTAGAATTTTCCAAGCTTCTTTGCTGCAAATTTATAGTTCCAGTTCAGATCTGGTAGTCCTACATTTGTTAAATTTGCAATTAGCAAAATATATTTTTTTAAAAAGTAATCATTCTGAAAACTTTTTTTAACATAATACATAATGCTGAAGTCCCCTGAATAAATTGTGCATGATGAAATAACAACTGCAGCAGAAACCTGAAAATAATGGTTTAAGTCATAAGTTAAATTTTATTACTGTACTTTTAGTTATTAGTTTGGTCTACCAGATCAACAAGTAACTGAAAAGTTGGTTTTGCTCCTAGGCCTGGGATTAGAAAGCTGCTTAGCTCCAATTGTTTTTTCTCAGCGGTATTTTTGAAGTATTGTAGTTGTTCCCTCCACATGTTCAGGAGTTCTTATAATCCTCTTCTAATTTTTTTTGTTTTTTGTTTATCTTATTATATAAGACACACAGAGTTGTCTGGAACTAAACAGCCTCTAAATTTAATCAATTTAGTATTATTGTGTATTTTAATATGCATGATATGTATCTGCATTGTAACTTAATTCTTAAAGAGAACTTGATATATTGAGTGCTGGTATCTCAAATGTCACATAGAAATTCCCATTGCTTGCTTGTTCACTTTAGGTTTGATGGTCGATACTGTGTTCTTTTGGATAGAGAGCAATTCTCTGAAATCCTATGATTTGAAATAGCAAGCAGTAGTTTAATGAGTCACCTTACTAAATAGCAAGGAATTTAAGTGAAAAGCATGCTTCTAACCATTTACTTAGCATCTGTCTGCAGTCTTCAAAGAAGCTGCATTTTTCTCAGAATCATACAGTTCATTAACTGGGGTAATTCAGTGATGAAAATAACAATGGCAGTAAGTTTTCTCAACAGGGAAAGGATTTCAGGTGCATTCTGTGGTGCACCCTGAGTTACATGGGGCAATAGGGAAATTTGAGCGAAGTTTACATAAAGTCAGATTTTTTTAAAATGTTCAGTTCCATTTACAATATATTGGCGTGTAGTAGGAAAAAATATATGAGCACATAGTTACATAAAGGAAGAGGTGGTATCCTTCTGGGCAATCTGCAAGAGATAGTACTGGGTGACCCAGTCTTGCAGTGGTTCAGCTGCTTTCTTCAAAGCTGGTCTCAATTAGTGTTGGTAGGAAGCAAGAGGTCCAGCCCATGTCTGCTCCTTTGTAGCTTGCCTCAGGACTCTTTTAAACATCTATATGAAAGTGCTAGGTGAAATAACACATCATGGGATGAGGTATGAACAATATGACAATGATACCCAATATCACATCTTCATTCCTGATGATCTAAGTGATGCTGTAGCTGCTCTCTTATGGTGACTGGTGGTTGTAGGGGTTTGGATGGTGGACAACAGGCTTCAGCTGAGCTCTGGTAAGATGGAGTGACTATGGGTTCAGGGGACCTTGGGATCTAGGAGTTTATCATCCTTAGTTTTGGATGGGGTTGCACTACCCCAGACAGATCCGATATACAGTCTGGGGATTCTTCTGGAGTTGCAACTCCTGTTCAAAGAGCAAGTGACAGTTGTGGTTAGTGTTGCACCTTTCCCTGGATCGTGAGGCCCTGTACACAGTAACTGATCCCAGTTGGATTACTGTATGGGGATCTAAATGGGGCTACCCTTGAAGAGTATGTGGAAGCTACAATTGATACAGAATGCAGTGATACAGACAGTTCTGGAAGCCTTTTGGGTGGCACATATGACATTGCTGTTATGTGAGCTGCACTATCTGCCAGTTTGCTTTCAGGTCCAATTCAAGGTGTTTGTCATCACCCTTAAAGTCTTTTATGGCATGGGCCCATGGTATCTGAGGAACTACCTTGCCCTGATGGGACTAACCCACCCCGCTCATTCCAGCAGAAAGGGTCTACTTTGCATCCCGCCAGTCAAAGAATTTCAGGTGACGAGGTCGAGAAGAAGAGCCTTTTCTGCTGTGGCCCCTTGCCCTAGCAGAGGTGAGATCTGCCTCCACATGCTTAGCCTTCTGGAAGAGCCTAAAAACTTGGTTCTGTTGCTTGGCCTGGGGCCCCAATAGGGGCCTGCAACACGGGATTGCTGATGGGTAGAGAAGATTCTCACACCCAGGCCACTTCTCATCTTGGTTCTTATTTTTTAATGCTTTTTATTCCAATTTTAATTGTTATTTAGCAGTTTTAAACTTTTTATTATATTGTAAGCTGCCCAGAGTTGTTATTGTGTTCCCCAAAAATAAGACCTGGTCTATATTATATATATATATATATATATATATATATATATATATATATATATATATATATATATGCCTCCAAAAGAGGCATTAGGTCTTATTTTTGGGGGGTGACTTTTTTTTTCCTGACACATGTCTCACCTCATGGCAGTTGTACCAACAGCCCCATCCAGGAACTGCATGGCCGCCATCCCATTTCTTCTGTGATGTGCCAGTGCCACTGCCACAAGGCAAGGCTAGTGGGGGAGGGAGGCCTGGCTACAGGGGCCCTTTGGCATGGTAAGCAATTGCGGGGTGCGTGAGGCAGCTTCCCCTCTCGCCTCCTCCTCCGCCTCATGTCTAGCAACCAGACACTGTGATGGAATGGGTGGCTGGCCGCCTGCACAGGCTCTTACATAGGGCTCATTTTTGGGGTAGGGCTTATATTAGGTCCAACCCCCAAAGTCAACCTAAGTCTTATTTGGGGGTCAGGTCTTATTTTTGCAGAAACACAGCATATGAATGATATTGGCATAGAAATTTAATAAATAAAATAACATTTTAATAAAATTGTCTGATCTGTATTGTTTTTATGGACATATTAGAATATTATTAGTCTATATTATATATGGTACATATTATAAAAGTATAATAACAAAAGGATAATATTTTTACTTATTCATTGATATTGTCCTTAATATCTGTAACACTTTTCTACAGAGCAAGCATGCATTTTTTTTAAAGGTTAAAAAGAGACCAGAGCTGTTTATAACATCCAATATAGTCTATAAGAAAATAGTTTTTAATTACAATCTACTGTTTCTGGGCAATATAAATGATAGCTTAGTTTGGAAAAGAGAATTACTATGATTAAACACAAGTTTCCTTGACAACCAGTTAGATGTCGTGAATGCTGAATTGTTTGGGAGCTGTATATAGTCTTCAAGATTTCATCTAGAAAGGGATCTTTCTGTTTGCTTATATTTTGGTATGATGTTACGATAACATTTTGTACAAAAGTTTTAGAAGCCATACAGAATTTTAGAGCCCAGTTCATTAAACTACTGAGGATTAACTACCGTAACTGCATTGTTGTTTTGTTGTTTGTGCATTTATTTAAAGACTGATTTGCTTCTCCATTGAACCATGAGAATGTGCCAACAATACTGGAAAGGGTTATTTAAGGCCATATCCCTTTTAGATAAGCTTCATTGCAATAATGTATTACATATACATACCCATGATGTTATTTTCTTTCAGGGGTGAAAAACATCATGCAGAGTGGAGAAAAGTAATAAGAAATAATAAGCCAAAGGAAATAAAGACATGAGAATAAGAAAAAGAAATTTATGCCCACACTGTTCACTGTACTTCTCTGTTTCTTTCTGTCCTTACAAACCATCATTGCTTCAAATACATCCATACAGTGCTTCAGTTATCATTTCTACTATGAAAAAGTTCAGAATAAATATTAATATAAATCCTTTGTCATTATTTTGGGATGGAATGGCAGCCTGACAGTTAAAAATCATTGTTTTGGACATGAAAGATCATGAGTTTAATAATAGCAGACAGGCAATGAGTTAAATCTAGCATTTGTGCTTATTCCATATTTACTGTCTGTTTACAATATATATTTTGTGATTTTAATGCTATTTTTTATGACAATTACTCAGAGCTTACATGATAACTGTTGGTAATTGTGTAAAGTACAATAAACAAAACTCAAAATGTAAGGCTACCATATGAACCAAGGAAAAAAATGGTGCAGTAATAATTATAATGACAACAACAGGATATTATAATGAACTTACCACACTGAGAATATTTATTTTCAAGAACATATCCTAGCAATAATATAGAATTAACAATGGTGTGCTTTTCAAATTTTACCATAGAAACATATAATGAGCCTTGTGATCTACAAACTGCAGTGATCATAGATTCAAAAGAGCTGGACTGAAGCTGATTGCTGGAATTAGAATATGACTTAAGTAACAAAATGTCTACAGTCTAGACTGTCAGGTCTCTTAACTTATGAGGTAAAGAAAGAAGCAAACAATTTATAAGATCATAATACCCAAAAGTTCAAATGACAACTGTCGTGAAAACAGTCCAGTTTTTTTTAAAAAAATATACTCAAAAAGCCAAACAATATTTGATTTTAAAGGTAGGCTTGCCAGATGGAGGACAAGAAGACAAAAAAGAAGACATCTTCTCTTTTGCTGAATGTCTGGTCACCCCAGTCTAGACAGGACAAGGAAACCTCAATTATTTTGATCATCAGAACTGTGTTCAGACTGTTGTCATTTGTAACTTAGTTGAATGTGTAAAAAAGCACCTTTGACCCTTGGAATTACTCAATAAGCTCTACCTAGGTACAGCATTATTTGATTGCAACTGTTAAACAATAGTTGTGATATGTAATGGTGTTCCTAATGGTAGAATATTTTTGGGTAATAGTTGTTAATGTGATATCCCACCACACCCATTTAGGTGCAGACTCTAAAGAACTATGATATTTCTGGGAAGAAAAAAAAACTTTTCTAGCTGGGTAACCAAAGAATCAAAATATATATGAATGATTGCTGCTTCTATTCTTTTGCTTTATTTAAGTTTAGTTGTTCCTAGTCTAAAGCAGGGATGGGCAATTAATTTTTCCAAGGGCCCACATGAGGAACTGAACTGTTGTGGAGGACCACTACCACCCCTGCTACTAACTACTGTTAATTACTGACATTGTACCGTGTCTCCACCAATATGAATAGATTAAGTATGGTAGCAAACTTTTTTCCTATAGTAGTCCTTGATTTATGACCACAGTTCAGACTGGAATTTTGGTTGCAGTCATTACATTACCAGACCCAGTTTTTTTTTTTTACCATTTTTACTGCAAACCAATTGCCAAGTATCTGAATTACCATCACATCACTGGGGTGGTGGTAGGGGTACAACAATTAAGGATGGATCACAAGTCACTTTTCCCAAGGCTGTTGTAACTTTGAACCATTATACGAATGGTCATAAGTCAAGGACTGCCAGAATTGATGTGTAGTATAGATGCAAATAAATATGGGCATACATTTAGTTTATGATTTATTGCCTATAATTTAGCATGGACAACTCTCAAACCTACGTAGTTTAATCACATTTTTATCCAGAAGCAGCAGAGGTATTCTGTATTCTAATTCTCAGTTATTCCAGGCAATTATCATTTCCTTAAGGATGAGTTCAGCCTGCAACTCTTTCATTATAATTACCTTAATCACAACATCTTGGATAAACAAGTCGGAACTGAAAATTATCTTCTATATGGCTCTATTTTCTTGTCACTCTCATTTTGGGTAGTGACAAGAAAACAGAGCCATTTTGGGTAGTGATGTAATATTTTTATCAGTTATAAATATTAGGTGTTTTTGCATTACACTCATTTATTGTGCATAAAATATTATCAAATTTGACCCCTCATCTACCATTAGGCTGGAAATTACCACTACAGGGAATTAGAACAAATTAATTGAAATTACAGTAAGCCTGAAAACTGTGAGCCTTAGGTATGAAAGACAGCTGGGAGGCTTTGGGCCAGTCAGAAATGTTTTATGGGGAAAATAAGAGAAGATAGGTGTATTAGGTACATATGCTGCTTTGAGTTATTTATAAAAATAATGAAAATGGGATAGAAAAAAAGAAAATATGAATTGCTTTCAGAAAGATTAACCATGAAGTACTTAATAGAAAAAAAAGAAAGCTTTTGGAATGACGTTTACAGGTCCTATATTTGAATGTTACTGAAAATCTGTAGGGAGATCTCAAACATAAAATAATCACAAAGACAAAAGAATGTTCTTGAGTTAAAAGACTTGCAAGGAACAAAGGAAGACTATTGTAGCATGGAAAAATTCTTAGCTAGATATAGGAAATGTTTGAAAGCTGTTATTTCTGCCAAATAAGGTTTTACAAAGTACTGATTAAAACCATGTACAGAGCTTTGCATCTACCATAAAATTCATTTTTTTTATTTTTACTTTGTAAATAACTGCACATAAATAGTAAATATTTATCCAATTTTGCAGAAGTCATACTTAAACTTTGTACCATATTGTGGTTATGTCAACTTATTTTTAGTTAAAGATTCACTGAAACATACAGTTTCACCAAGTCTATATTTTTGCATGTAACTGTATCTCAACTCATTTGCATGAAATTTGAAACATTTTACACCTGCATGTATTACAGTTTCCCAAATCTCCCTAAATATCAAATGGGTATTTACAAAAAAATTAAAGAGACATATATTTTTTAAAAATCCCAAATAAATTAATATTGCAGAATTCAGTAGGTCATAGAGCTGTAGTTTGCCTACAAACTTTATTTCATTCTGCTGGGGAAAAAAGGCATTAGTCTTTTTTTCCATGCTTCAAGTATTGGAAGACAGTTTTTCTGAAATTTATTTTGGCTTTGGATTTCAATTAAGTTTGGGTTACTTCCCAAACATCCCAGAATAGATTGAGTCCAAAGTGGATTGGAGGGACTGTATGCACACCTAATAGTGTATGAATAATTTAGTGTATCCTAATTAGCAGCTGACAGAATTACATATATTTAATCGTGTTTCAATCCAATGTATGTGAATTAGCTTGTACTGAGATAAACTGACAAGAAGTTAATTTGTGCTGTTTGTGGTTATCAATAATGTAATTTCAACTGAAAATATACTGAGGAGTGTTTTGGCTGTCTATATTTAGCTTTCATCTGTTGCTGTAACAATTTTTAAATATCTTGGATCTTCAGTTGCACATAATTATTATGTTTATGATTCACCTAAGCCCTATACAATGATTATCTTTCATAATGATTGTATCTCATCATAGGCAATGCATATGGATTATTTATTAATAGCCTCTGGTTCAAAATATGAATCATTTTTATAAAGGTCCCTATGTTATGATCTGTGGTTACAACAACAAACTTTTATAAATGCAGATGTCCTCTGGATTTTATTTTGGGGAAGATGAGTTCATCTTTTTTGGGTTTTGCATATATGGAAATTCAAATAATTTGTATATATGGAAAAATCTTCAAAATTTTAATGTATTTATCTTTAAATTTAATAAGTCCATAAGTTTGTAATGGGTAGTATACCATACCATTTTTTCCTACAATGTTCCAAGACATGGTTTACTTAATCATGATTTTATCAAATAAACCTTCCTGAGGGAGTTTTTCTCAAATATCTGCTGCCCACAGAAATATGTTATTGTTATATTAGAGCTCTAGCTCCAAGGCCCCCTTTGAAACTGTTCAAACAAAATTTATAAGTGCATTATTAGGCACATCTAATTATCTGTCAGGCTACACTACAGATGGGCCTAATTTTAACTGAGGCATGAAAGTGCTTTTGCACTTAAAATGTAAGCTTGAACCTTGAATTAGGAGAGCCCATAATTGTCCATTGCAACTCTCTATTCATGTAGATAATCGGAATAAATGTAATTCTAAAAGATTCCGAAGACTTCTGTTCAATAACTAACCTTGGTTGGAATCAAAGAACCTGTATGGAAGAGAAATGGTAGATGTTTTATTTAGATCTTCAGAAAGAGTAACCTCTAGCCCAGTATCTTATCACTTCATTTAACTCAGTGGACTTCATCTATGCCCAGAAGACAAGAAAGACTTTATCCTAGCTGGATATGACGTTTGATCATTAGCCTAATTAGAAGATAGATTCATTTCTCCTTTCCTGAAACATCTGTTTATGTTTTATGGAGAAAACTGAATCTATTGGTCACATTACTCTCCACTACACTTTTTACTTACCTTGACATAATGATTCAATTACATTGCTTTTATTGCAGAAACCTAAATGACAAAGATTGTTTGTTTCCTGCTCATAGATACATCAACAAGGATTTCTTAAAATGTCACAACATCTGATATAATTGCCATATCAGTCCGTCACAAGATTATTTAGACTAGGAGAGATTTTTATTTTTTTCTATTTTTCTAATAGCCAATAATAAATATACATATGTGTGGTTGGTTATTACCTATGAAATACAATGGATATTGCCAGATTTTATAGCTTTTATAGGTTTTTAATTGATTGCTGTGATATAAGAAGACAATAAAGTCTTATCTATTAAATATGCCACACTTGGCTTTATTCACACAAGTTAAATTCTAAATGATGCTACAGAGTATATTACACAAGTTAAGCTCCCTAGATACTACTTGAATGTTGGAGTGTAACAGTATGATTTACATTATCACATCCCAAGATTCAATAGAAACATATATCATCCAAGAAAATATGTATGATTTAATAATTGTTGCTTGCATTTTACATCTTAAACACATAAATATACATTAATTTTAATTCCAAAATAATTCTGAGATCAAAAAAGATTTTAAAGCCCTACCCAAAGAAATCAAACATGTCACCCAGAGTCATGGGTGAGCATATAAATGTGTTAAATATGCAAATAAATATAAATACCGTACTTTCCGGCGTATAAGACGACTTTCACAAGCGTTAAAATTGGTGCCGAAGTCGGGAGTCATCTTATACG